GGACCCCCGGAGTTCCACGGCCTGGGCTTTGTCACCATTGCACTGACTCTGACTGTGGGTGTTGTCCTCGCCCGACGTGGGCTCCCTGAGCTGCTCGCTCGCCGCCGTGTCCCCACCAACAGGTGTAGCTGCGCAGGGATGTCGTGTCGAATGGACAGCGAGGCTGTGGCCAGGGGCACCCTCCAGCCTGGGAGCCCCGCTCACTGGCCGCGACACCCAGGAGAGTTAGTCCTGGGGGGCTCCGCGGAGGCGGCCCCAAGGCCTCCCCCCGCCCACACCTGCCAGTGTTTCCCGGCCCCTCCAGGGGCGGCGCGGTCCTGGGCCAGATAACTCTCTCCTCCCCACCTCACACGCCCAGGGCCTCTCTACAATCTCCCCAGGAGCTGGTTTGAGTGAACTCTGAGCTGCTCAGGGTGCATTCACGCCCCAGCCACCTGGCTCGGCCCTCCCTCTGCACCCTCCTTGGGCCTCCCCTCATGCCCACAGCCTCCCTCCCTGGGCCTCCCCTCATGCCCACAGCCTCCCTCCCTGGGCCTCCCCTCATGCCCACAGCCTCCCTCTGGCTTGCCCTTCTGCAGTCTCTGTGGCATCCTTGTGGGGTGCGCCCTGGGTTTCAGGAGGAGGTTGGACATTCAAGGAACAGGGTATCAAGCTGGGGCCGCAAATGCAAATTCCCACGTTTGTGTTGCCCCCTGGAGGACAGACTGGGCAGGGGGTGAGCCAGAAGGCGCAGGCAGGAGAGGCACTGAGGTGGGCAGGGATGCGGGAAGAATGTGCAGAATCCCGTGGATGCCCTGTTCCGAGGCCTCCAAGAGGAACCGGGGCTCCGTGTGCAAACCCAGGCGCCCACCCTGTGCACGGGGCACCCCTGCCCCGCTCTGCCCGCCATGGCCCCCATCTAAGCTTCGTTGGGAACTTGAAAAGGCTGGCAGGGGTGCGGGCCAGTCATCACCCCCTTAAGGTCATGTCCTGGGCCTTTCACGGGTGTGAAGTAGGCGGGGCCACCAACGAGCACGTGAAGCCAATGAACAGCAGCCCTTTGAGTGAAAGTTGATGTGGCCGCAGAGAGTGAGCACGCCCAGCATGACCACGTGCTGCGGGTGACCTGGCAGCCGAGGACCGGGACGCTGCCTCCCATGTGCAAGGGAAGAGGGTGTGGACTCTGCACTGTGAGCCCCGTGGCACTTGCTCATCAGGGGCAGATAGAGGTAGGGACGGGACGGTGGGACAGTGGTGGGTGGGGTAAGGGCCCGACGCCGACGCCAGCCCAGAATTCCTGGTCCCCACACAGGGTTCTCTGTGGGAACCAGGCATCAGCCGTGGATGGACCTCATCTCTCAGGTACTGTGCTGAACTCGGGCCCTCCTGACCCGCTGGGCACGCCCGGTCCCTCCTGACCCGCTGGGCACACCCCGGGCCCT